GGCTTTGCTTATGTTCGGCTGTCCAAAGGTTGACATGTTCAAGAAAACCTTTTAATTTTGCGCCGCCTCCGAAAAGGTTCAAAAGTATTTAATATACTACCTAACGAGTAAATAGGTTTTATTCGCATGTGTGACGTAATTGTATGATTGAATGAAATAGAAATTACTTCATTAGGAAATAGAAATTATTTTATACTTTTTAGTGCATTTCGAAGTCGGTGTATTTTTTTTCTTAAAATTATTTTATTCTCTATATGAAAGACTTACTAGTATAACAATTTGTATACCTGATATAACTGATTCATTTAATAATTTAAATACCTAATATTAATCAAAGTGTAGTTCTATACATTTTATAAGAGTGGATCATAATTAATCAGTTCTTTTAATTCACACGGTTAATATTTCTAGTAATTTATACTGTTATGTGATAATAAACATGTATAAAATCTAAAAATTATAATACAACACTTGTACATGCAGGACCTTTTATCTTTAATTACATTTTCATATTAAAAAATAAAATATGTAATAAAGAGGCTGTATAACTCATACGTGAAATTTCTTTATTTTTCAGTCATACTTCTCTGATCGTATATTTATAATAATATTTGATTTTATAATTCTAGGCGAAGCGAACTTTCAACATCGATTTCGCTAATTTGCATTCGACATTTAAGGACAATCGGTACGATTGGCTTCCTGGGCCGAATGAAATTCCCAAGCAATTAGGAGAAATGCTAGATCAAGAGTACCTCGATAGATTAGAGGTATGTATAAGATGTAATTTGTTTCTTCTTCTTCTATTTTCTTGTGTTTGTTGATATGCTGCGCGGAAGCAATAGTTTAGTGTAATAAAATATATTACTAGCCAAACGTATCAAACTATCCTTCGGTAAACATGTGTGTGGAATTTTTTGAATAACCAATGAAAATTTATTTTTGTTAAATAATATTATACCATAATTATCGTTTGCCTCACATAAAAATGATTCATTTTGTTTCATTTGCGTAAATAAAGATTAATAATAACATCATTAATATTAAACATCATTTGTACAATCATAAGTAGCAAAACAAGTAGTCTTTCTGATATAATATTTTTTCGAAGTTACAAATATAAAATTATATTCATAGAACTTATTTCATGTGATTTCTGTGATATAATATAATTTTGTATAAGATGGTCTCATATTTTTAACCCACAGTGCATGAATACATATATAAAAAAATTTAATAGTTGTAATATAATTCACGTGTAAGTAATATTTTAAAATGCTGTTTTCCTTTCATACACCCCAATTTATACATAAATTGTCTTCGAGGATATAGGTATTACTAAAGATTGTTTATTATCTTCACAGCTCGATACAGCCCTTATTGATGCGTATGAATACATGCAAAAGTATGCAGTGGGCCTGGAGCAAATAGTTTGGGACCAAGAAGATCTTCAACTCGAATTTCGCAATCAGTTCGAACAAACGGAGTACAAACTACGAACGGTAAGTAACAAACTTTGTTCCTGTGAATAATATTGCACGTTACAAAGTTTTATTCCACAAATTTTTTGTTTCCCCAGTTAAAAAAGAAGTATTGCACTACTTTCGCAATAGCAATGTCTAACCGACTATAATTAGCCTGAATCGCGTTATGTTCCATTGTCACAAACAAAGAGAAAAAAAGTACTTTACTGATTTTACGAGTTTTACACAAAACCTTCGCAACTAATTGTAGGCTTTACAGTCGTAAAATGAAAAAAAAAGCTTTATGGGTTTATCGTTCATTGCAGTCTACCAGTTTAGATTGTTCCTCTTTTAAATTGATTTTTGTTCGATTTCACTGATTTCGCGATACCTTTCTTTTTAAATGAAAATATCTTTCCCTACTTGTACGTGTTTACTTTTGTTTAAATATTGTTTATACATACCAATGGTTAAACACACAATTTTATACTTCTACTAAAAATTGTAAATTTTTATTTCAATTTTGTTTCTTATTATTTATTACATATTCGAATAAATTGAACAGTTATTAACCTTTTTAATCGGAGAAAAATCTATAATAATTTCTTTAAACTTTTTTAATAATAAATATGTAGAAGTTAATTATTAGATTCGTACTAAATTTTTAACCTTTCTATACATTTCTCTTAAAACTTCGCATAGAAATTATCGGGATTATGGCAAAAAATTAAATTGAATGATGCTTTACTTCAGGAAAATGGGTTAATAGTTAAACTTGAATAGATAATTCTCGAAAAAGAAAATGCTTAGTTTGTGTATTAAATAACTAACAGAATGTAATGAATACCTTTGAAATGAATTTTAAATAACGATGAAAATAATTTAATATATGTTATAACCAACAAGATTTTTATAATAACTTTAAAATACGTTTTCTCATCGTAATAAAAAATGTAAACATGTAAGTTTGCAAATAAATTATAAAGTAATAGAGATATGTCACTTTAATCCTTTCGTTACAGCAATCCGTTGTAAGTGACGACGCTGAATTGGGCACACCGCCGCGAAGTGTGGTGCTTTTCGACGCCACTTTGGGATTCTTTTGTATGCACACTATTTTGAGAGTTACATAACAACTATTTCGTCGTATAATATGAAAAACATTAAAATGAGTATATCTTATGTTGTTGCATACGTGTTGACTATAGTTCGTACCCGATACACAGGTCGTACCGCTAATGTCGATTATAGTCCGCAATAGTTGGCACCCACACACACAGTACGTCGTGCGGACTCCGACTATAGTCGGCAACCGTAACGAAAGGGTTAATATTTAGAAATTGTTTTCATAGATACTACAAAATAAAATTTTAACTTTTTTCAAAGAAATGTAACTGTCAGTATAATATTACAGTTTTTGGTAGTCGTTATTAATTGGTAGTCGTTACATCTACGACAAAGACTGTATTATCTGCAATAAACTTATTTCATTTAGAAAGAAAAATCTGTTATTTACAATAGATCGCACGATGTTTCTACTCTCTGAATTACTTGTTTCTTTTAAATTATGTTTTTTCTTTAAACTGCAACTATCTCTTTAATTATATAATTTTCTAAAAACCATATGCTGCATTATAGACAATACATTTTTCTTCGTGAATTAATGAATAGTATATCTGTCAATATCTAATTTTATACTTTACATGTTCCAATTTTGATCAGACATGGCGACTAATAATTGGAATCTACAAATAGTTTCATGGTTTTCTTATATGTATTTTTTATATAAAAATTAGAAAATATTTCGTATACAATTTGTATTTTTTAAAAACATTTGCACTTTTCATTCCTAAATATTTGTAAACTACTTTGAAGTGTTGTACTCAGTAACTCCAATTTTTGTCTGAATCCACGTACCTCATCTTAATTATTATATAACGTAATACAAAAAGGAAGTTAGTCAGCACTTATCTACAAATAAAAATAAGAAAAACACTGAAATTATATTGCAATATGAATCTATTGCAACGGTTAAAGAGAGGTGATGTTTAAGTTTTAATTTATGCAACCTATCCAACAAAACCGATATTCCGTCAAACGGAATCAGACGTATATTTCGTTCCATAAGCCCATTGACCAAGCATCCAAGCCCGTGGCCAGTCCATTAACCTCAAAACAATTTTCGGTTGCAGGTTCTCTGCGAACTGCAGGTGGCGCTGGTGGAGCGTCAATTATCGTCACGTCCCGACGTCACTCGAGACATCATGTCACCCGAGTTTCGTGCAGTGTCATCTTCGGAAACGTATCGAAACCTACGTGACTGGTTAATTTTTCGAGATTATATGAACGGTCTCGAGTATGTGGTACAGGTGTTTGAGCATTTACGCCGTGGTCTGCAGTCCTGAGGATGGAAAGGCGGAAGCCGAAGAAGGGTTACCAGGCGACGACTCGCGCATCTCCGGAAACCAGAACGACAACCCAGTCTGGATGGCGAAGTTTCGTCATGAGATTGGAAAGCGAGCATAGGCATGCTCTGTCAAGCAGGCCCAGAAGCTTTCAAATCCCATCCTGGTTTCTCTGTCGAGATGTGTCTCTCCGTAAGAACTATTCGTCATGGGGGTTATCAGCAAGAAAACAAAGCTGGTTCACCGTGAAGCCTATATCCTATATCGTTTGGTCGCAAATTGAATTGACTACCATGACTTTGAAAGAGAATTGGTCGAGTTTCGTCAATGATAACATGCTGGAAACTAGAGTCGTGTAATCAGCAGCCCACATTGGCTTTCGCCGCCCTTAGTTCACGATCGTGCAGACGCGTTCGTTTTGTCCATATCCAAAGTATCGTTATTAAAGTGTTAAGATGGGTAGTAAGTGACAGATTACGAAGATGTCAGCCAGTTCCGAACGACATACTTGATGGAAGAGTTTTAATGATGACTTCTTTCGCGTCGTGCGATATGGCTGTTGCGTCTGATAAATTTTAGACATTTTTACTTCGTAGTATTTTATTATTGGATCGCATCTAGTATTTTTAGAATATTTTAACCGCACACTTACATTGGTTTTACTTTTTTGAATAAAGATTAATAGTTCAAAATTCAATGACAGCCATACCAACGATCGTTTTCAGCACATTTTTATTCACTAGTGTTTGAAAGTGTTGAAAATGAAACGCGAAAGGGGTGTTTGGTGGGAATAGGATTCACAGGGAATCCGTTTAAACGAGCTTGTGCACCGCAGCGGTATTATATCCTAAGTACACAAGAAAATACACAGTATTCGCGCTTTAACTTAAACGTAAGGTAAAAAAAGAAAGGGAAATTGAATACGTGGTTATCACGCGAACATTATTATCACAAATACGACGTCTGTTGAAACGTCATAAACAAGCCATCCACGTTTCGCTCTTAATCCTACATGATAATTTATTTGACTAACTGTAATATTATTATTATTATTATTATTATTATTATTATTATTATTATATTCATATTTATTCAGATTATTTATTTTATTTTTATAAAGATTTTACATTGTCCAATTAACTGTATTTAAAGTGTCTAGTTGAGCTTAAAATTATCTAGAGAATAAGGAAGCAGAAGAAGATATATTATTAATATTATTATTATTAATGTTATTCGTACAATTTTAATAGTATTGTAGGGGGAGAAGAGAGATACGTATTGCCGCTGCTGCTGCTATTTCCTTTTGATTGACGTACCTCCTAAAGGTATGGAAAATGATGTAAATTTTGAAGAATAGGATCAACAACAGCCCCGCCCCCTTCCTCCTACATTTTATTTATTATTATTATTATTTTTTTTGTTTCATGCAATCATACAAAACCAATTTTATTTCGATATATATATGATCGAGTAGTCTTTTTAGAAGAGTCTTTTTGGCTTCTTTTTTCTTTTTGGTCCGATACTCATACGAAACTGTGGTAGATTCAATGTAATGCGTGGCACGAAAGTATCATATTATTTTTGTCAATCACGGTCATATTTTTACTTTTTGAGATATAAAATCTTTTCTTATTTTATAAACGTCAAATATTGTTTCATTTTTAATAATACTTTGACGGCCAATGTCATTATTAACTTTTCTCGCTAATGTGTTTTACTTCATTTCTGTTTACTGTTTTATATACTGATTACAGTTTAGAGGTTTGTAATTTTTATAATGTAGATTAGCGAGTATTATTCCACGAAAAAGATTCTTGTCCCTTTTCCGAGATACGAAGAGATCTAAATTTATAGATATTATTGATTCTATGAAATACGAGGTTTCCGAAGTGTCAACAATCCGCAACAATGCTTTTACTTTTTTGTGATACAAATTTTCGCGCCAGAATAGTGTGAGTCACGCTTAGCACTGCATATCGACATTCGCTCGAAGATGATCGACGTTGCACACTTCTATTGTACTTAACAATTTTTCGGGCTGAAACTTTTTAATTTTCATGTTATTGATGGCCTATAAACTTACTGTTAAATAATGTTTTTATGAGCGTGTTTTGCATAAGGACCATAATATTTTTAATTTCATATCATAGTGTCTGTGATATGCATCGTCGAACATCTCTCAAGCAAAATGCTTGTCATGCTTGAATTAAAATATCTGATTCTTGTGTCGAGAAAAGAGAAAAAGGAGCGAAATGACTAAGAAAAAAGAAAAAGAGTGGACGTGTGCCTGTATATGCGAGTGTAAATACGAAAGAAAGACCGATTTGTGTGGCAATGTCGATCTCGTGAATCGATCTCGAATGCGCATTTCATTTTATCACATTGTTTTATATATTTTTTATTTAATAGACCGTCATTTGTTTCATTTCTTTTTAAGCATCGATCATTTCTGTTTAGTAAAGAAGACTGCCATTTTAGTTCAGATTCTTTTAACCCTTGTGTCTACAATAACAGATACTCTTTTTGATGAATAACGAAATAAGTCATTCAAAGTTTCGCTATTGAAAACAGATGCAAAAGGTCCTTGTTTTATCATCTATTAAAATTATTCAATGGTAATCACATTTGCAATCTAAACATTTTATTTTTAATCTAAAATTTGTTCCTATTCTAAGAAATGAAAGATCTAATAGTCATTTATCCGACATGTGATGGTAAAGTTATGAAAAATGCGGTTAAATGTAAGAATATGTTGTAAGTATAACTAATTTAGTCATCTATCTGTGAAATAATTATTTAGAAAGATTACAATACAATTATATGTTTTGTACATTTTAATATTTACAATAACTATAAGTATCCACTTTTCATCTTTGCTTATCGGAAAAAAATCCGAAATATAACGGCCATCTTATAATTGCGATTAGTTTGCGCTTTCTACATTACTTTATTAAGGCTCCCACTATTTCTAAAGTAAATATATATTGGGTCTTGATCTCTCAGAACCCAAACATTACATCATAAACAACTTTTTTCATTTTGATAATTTGACTCGTCAATTTTATCATTAATTAGTATTTATTAAGTACTTCTCGTATTTATTAAACATAAATTTAACATAATTTTGGTAAATAAACGTCGGTATATTTTTCTTAACGTGAAAATTATCGCAGTAGAATGTGATGTGCAGAAAATAAGACTGAAAAGTAGCAACAATATGACCAGTCATATTTTTACATTCAACCATATTTTTTATAATTCTTCATTACTTCTCAGACAAATAGCTATTCGATTATTTTATTTTTGTGTATAGTGAAAGAACTTTTATTTTGAATGACAGCCAAAATTCGTCTGTTTTTAGTATTGTTTTTTTTTTTAAAAACGTTAATGACACTCACCGGTGACAGGATAATCGGATAACTGAAAAAAAGTTAAAAAAAATATTAAATAGTATTATTATTGTACTATATATGCAAAGTAGCGACTGGAATATTTGAGTTGGAATTATAATAGGTCTTTTTACATAGGGCCATTTACATTATAGCGGTCAATGTGTTAAGTAATGAAAGTGTTAAAAAATCGATAAAATGTTTAACGTTGCAAACGAGTCATACATTAATATACTCTTTAGGAAAGACTTCAATGTTCCAATCGTAAGCAGCAGCGCAACTTGTTGAAATGTTGATGAGCAAAGGACAATTCTATCGATTGCCAATAAGTATTTTGTCTTTTTCTTCTTAAATGGAATTTGTTTCTATGTATCTATCAAAATTCATATTTGTATCAAAATCGGTGTGTAATTTCATATGTAAAGATACATAGAATGTGCCAGGTGAATACAACAAACAAATTGTATTTATAATCTTTCTCAAAATCTATTGAACGAACGATATAAAAATGAGTAAAAAATTGGTTTCCAGAAAACAACCGGGCATATTCTATGCGACTGATACAAACAATATACAATAAATTTTCTGTAGAATAATTATTGATTGCTTGGTGTATGTTGTACATAAACAAATTTGATGATATAGAAACCTCAAAGTATAATTATATATGTGAATATGTAACCTTCTTGGGGGGCAAATGACTCCCAAAATGCCCGTTCCGTTGTATCATATTAAACCAAAGACAGTTCTACATGGTGTATCTTGCGTTTTATTTAATTTTAATAACCTTCTTCCAGTTCCTCAACTCTTCCTTCTGAAATAATATTTAACTAAATGCTAATACCTTTATTTAACATGACAATTCTTTATCTACCAGCAATTGAAACGATCATAACTACAGAAGAATCATAAATAATTATTCTTGATATTTTGTGATGTATCATATGTGATATATGATACATACTGAAGCGATGTAATTTAGAAAAATTATAAAGAATTACACTTAATATTTTTAATAACTTTTTGAATGGTTGAAGTATAATCGATTATAGTTATAGTTAATGAGGTTTTTGAGTAAAAAGATTCTAAAAATATTAAAAATTTTAAACAATTAAAATTTTGCTGATAATTAAGATCCGAATTAATTAGTATTATACATAATATTCCAAGACAATAATGACTAAATTGGGACTTGCCATTCACTTCTCCTGTAATTCTTACTTTCTCATTCCACTTAGCTAAAAGAGAATGACACTCACCTTACCTACTTGGGTCTGGTCTTTATAATCATGTTATGTTTTTATAGTAATATGTTCGTTAATTTTGCAAAAAGAGGTATTCTAATATTTCATATCATATATTTTCAAAGTAATACAATTTTAAGTTATTAAAGTAGTTCTCACCGGTCAGAAGTCGTAAATCAGATAACGCGCGGTCCAAAAGACGCAACAGAGATAAGCTCGAGACAATAACGCAATTCGGAGATAAGCAAAGTATAAAAACAGAAGCAGGCAAGCGCGCGCGAGAGATTCGGAGTCGAAAGAGATTCGGAGTTCATATTACTAACGAGCCAGATCGTGTCACGAGTCGATACACCGCGAAGTCGGATATCGAGATCTTTCTATAACATTCTTGTAACAAGTATTTACATTGTAAAGTGTCGCGGTTGAGAAATAAAGTTTTTTTAAAACACAAACTGAGTGATTTCCTGCGTAACATAGTAAATATTTTCAGTAAAGTTTACAAGTAATCACAATTGTATTTAATATTCTAATAAGTACTTCCCGAAACAATCAAGTATTTAAATTTATATTTAACATCCATTTCATACATTTTTATGATATAAATTAAATAAAATTTAATACGATTAAATTGCTCTTCATCCCTATCTAGTATTTCTGAATCATAGTACACGATGGATGATTAGTTGCTAAATTTTTTACCGGAGCAAGTTAGTCCGGTCGTTTCCCATGATCAATGGACGGATCGTCATGTCTTGGTTGCTGTCTACATTTTCGATGTTTGAGAGGAAACGCGTAAGTACATGATCATCGTCCCGACTACGGCTCTGTCCCAGGCCGCCGTGTTTGCTCATACTGTTAGCTCGTTGTCACCGCTCTTCCCAACTTATATACCTTCTCATAAGGATTTTCACTTCACTCGTGCTGACGTTTGTTTGACGATCCCTGCCTCGGTCTTTCCTTCAGTGTCCTCACCCAGCTGGTTTCCTCAGCGCCGCCAAGGTGTCAATGTTTTGCCTAGCTATTAAGATCGTTAGCCCTCCTTCCTACATATAACCCTCTGCCTTTCTTTCCAAGGATGATCTTCACAATCAGAATTCTATTGCAAACATTGATTATGATTTGTCCATTTTTCAATTTTACTTTATTTTACAATAAAATTAATACTGAAATTACAAAGGCGATTCACAAAAAGAAAGATAATCTTTAAAACTGACAAAAGACATTAATAAGATGGTAAAAGTTATTTTGAGTCATCTAATTCTTACTTTGACACATTCGCATTGGAAAATTTTCGCTTCTGAAAAAATAAGCGTTGTCAGAAAATAAAAATTCTCGTTCTGCTAGCTTATTGGACAGTTTATGTGACAAGTTTGTGAAAAAAGTATTAATATCCCTCAATGCATTGAATACTGCTTCTTTGTAGTTAGAGCAAAAAAAAGTATGAATTTGTTAATAAAAAGTTTAACTTTAGAAACAAAATTCTGGTTTACAAATTGAATATTCTCTAATCGCGGACTATATTTGTTTAATTATGTGCGAAATGGTAAGCGAGAAACCACAAAACCAAAGTATTTAACAAATCTGACTCACAAAGAAAGGCACGCAAGTGTCCCCCTCCAATTTTGATGAAACTTCGTAGGTTTGTTAAGCAGGCAAAAATAATTTAAGGGGTGAAACGAGTCCTTAAAGTTTCGACCCCTTTTGGCTATCTCGAAAACCATACGAGATACATTAAAACTTCCAATAGGAAAGTTGTATGGTTTGTTGCGTACAATAATAGGATGTTAACGAATTTTTCAAAATACAATTTATTTATAACAAAAAAATTTTTCATAACATTATTTTACAATATATTCAAATTTATATGTATAATGACAAAAAGTGTAGAGAATTTTATTACAAAACCATTGGTATATATATACGATATTGCCTCCTACAATTCCTCAGATTTTTAATATAAACATTACGCGTGCGCGCCCGCAACGCGCCGCACGATACTAAATCTACTAAAAAACAATTATATTTGCGTTATACATAACTGTTAATTTTATTAAATTTGTATTACAAAACATTTATTGTTAAAGTACATAGGTATTCTACGTATATGTAAATTTTATAGGTAACGAATAGTTTGAATAAGTTAGGGAACATAGTCGTGGCAATAATGGTATTCTTTGAAAAAATGCTTCAAACACAACGGTTTCCGATGCACCATGCACATGAAATAATTGCTACGTCACCGCATATGTATATAGCATAGTGGTTCATTATGTGACGCATAGCAAAATTCTACTGTATTTGGAAAATGAGATGGTCTTGACGATATGCATCCACTTTTATATCATGAAATGAAATTTATGGTCTTGACGATATGCATCCACTTTTATATCATGAAATGAAATTTTCAAATCGCGGTGAAGAAAACTGATTATGAACAAGTCATTGTAGTTTTAGAATGCTATCTCGTGTGTGGAGATTAATGTATCGGAATAGCTTCGTCGACCCTACGACAATAATGCGCGCTCCAAGAATCTAATAATAGAGTTGTTTTGTTGTTTGTATTTGGAGAATAAACTTCTGTTAACCAAGTTTTAAAATTTTCTTTTTTAAGTTCTCCGGAAGTCGATTCCATAACAAAAATATTCATCGCCTTGAACATGGTCTGTTGTAATCGAGGTTCAAATACTCCATGGAATAAAGTGGATATACATATATCATCAAAGCCTCATTTTCAAAATTCCGTATTTTACTATGCATCACATAATGAACCACTATGCCACATATGTAGTGACGCAGCAATTATTTTATGTGCATGGTGCATCGAAAACCATTTGAATCATTTCTTCAAGCAATACCACCATTGCCGTGATTATGTTCCTTAACTTATTCAAACTATTCATTACCTAATAAAATTAACATATAGAATATCTTTGTACTTTAACGATAAATGTTAATTATAATGCAAATGTAATTGTTTCTCATTTATGCTTATAAATAATGTTGACTAACTAATATCGTCCGACTTCATTCGATTTAGTATCGTGCGGCGCGTCGCGGGCGCGCACGCGTAATGTTTATATTAAAAATCTGAGGAATTGTAGGAGGCAATATCGTATATATATACCAATGGTTTTGTAACAAAATTCTCTACACTTTTTGTCATTATACAAATTTGAATAAATTGTAAAATAAGGTTATGAAAAATTTTGTTGTTATAAACAAATTGTATTTTGCAAAATTCGTTAACATCCTGTTATTATACGCAAGAAACCATACAACTTTCCTATTAGAAGTTTTAATGTATCTCGTATGGTTTTCGAGATAGCCAAAAGGGGTCGAAACTTTAAGGGCTCATTTCACCCCTTAAACCCGCGTCACAGCCGAAAAAAAAAATACGTGTCCCTTATTTTTGCCTGCTTAACAAACGTACGAAGTTACATCAAAATCGGAGGGGGACACTTGCGTGCCTTTCCTTGTCAGTAAATAAACTAGCAGGTTCATTATCATTCTCTTCTTAAGGATTCATACATCCTTCATTAAGAATCGAAAGAATTCTACCGTAAATGTTGCAGTGTTATCATTTCAGCTTCTTAATATAGCCGATTGTTGAGTACAAAATAATTGATCTTTCATTATTATTTATTTATTTATAAGTCTATTTTATCGTATTATTATCAAAATAATACAAATCAATATTCTCTAATAAAAAAGCAATAGAAAATAAAAATTATTTTTATCAGTGTTAGATACTATTGAATTATAAATCGACAGTTTAGTTATTTCATCTGTATACAATACATGATGTATTAACATGTATTATGAACCAGTGAAACCGATGTATAGTATAAACAGCTATGATTATGATGGAACGTGTTTAATACGTACCACCATCGTTATCAATAGAACAGGTATTATACACATGTTCTACTAACTTTGTTATTCGTTGGAGTACAGGTAGCTTTTACATTTAACACCATTTTTCATCAACGATCGAATGCACATAGATTAGAACCACAATGTTTAAAAAATTTGAGTTATGTCAATCATGGCTTTCACCCCCTAAAATATTCATACGTACCGTTATACAATGATTATCGGAGAAGTGGATAAGTATTTAAGGTTGGTTAACAAGGCAGAAGCAAACAGTGCAATCCGAAAAGAACCCGGCGCATGCATACCGGTTGGACCCAACATCGACAGGGACAGAAAGTCTCCGAAAAGGATGATGCGCTTGGCGATATCTTCACCGATGATGCAGGTAGGGATCGACGATCGGATCTCATGCGGCGAGGTATGAATGAGTCGTGAGAAGAGGGCAAAAAAATCGGTCGGTACCATGAATGGCTGGGAAAACTGCGACGTTCCAACCGGTGAACGGTTACCGTCCTTCTCTCTACCATTCTTACCTTTCCCCGGCGTCTCTTTCGTTTTTCAGCCGATGACGGCGAAGTGCCGACGATCCTTTTGCACTTCGTTTCGACCGAGTCCTGGGAGCGTCCGGGAATCG